CTGTGTGTCCGGAGCCTGTGCTCCGCAACGGGAGAGGCCACAACACTGAGAGGCCGGGTCCCCCAAAAAAAAAAAAAAAAAAAAAAAGTCACCCTTGTGTAGAGAGGATCTGGACACAGATCCTCCAAGTTAAAGAAAAAAGTACATTTCAAAACAATAACAGGGACTTCCCTGGTGGTGCAGTGGTTAAGAATCCGCCTGCCAATGCAGGGGACACGGGTTTGATCCCTGGTCTGAGAAGATCCCACATGCTGCGGAGCAACTAAGCCCGTGCGTCACAACTACTGAGCCTGCGCTCTAGAGCCCGTGAGCCACAACTACTGAACCCACGTGCCACAACTACTGAAGCCTGCGCGCCTAGAGCCGGTGCTCTGCAACAAGAGAAGCCTGCGCAATGAGAAGCCCGCGCACCGCCCCCAAGTTTAACCCCTGCTCACCGCAGCTACAGAAAGCCCGCACGCAGCAAAAAAGACCCAACACAGCCAAAAATTAATTAATTAATTAATTTTTAAAAACCTAAAAAAAAAAAAAAGGATTTACTCATAGTAGTTATCAACCACGTGCTTGGATGACTGAAGGTTTATAGAAGCCAGAGTCAAAATCTCTGAAAGTCGAGAATAAAAACTCAGAGAGAGAAACACGGCATACCCAGGAGAAAACATCCTCCTAGGTTTTCTGTTAAATCTTGAAATGAATGATCCTGGGGTAATGCTTTATCTAAGCTTTCTCCCTGTATCAACTTGGAACACCAGAAAGCACCATGTTTTGGTGTGTATTTGAAAGGCTTTCAATGAACTATAATCTGGTGCTCTCTCCTTAGTTAATTTGAAATCAATATAATGATGATACCTGAAGCACAGTTTTGCATCTTCTGCCAAACGACTGCTCAGATAATTGATTGCCTTTTTGGTCCATGCCCTTTACACCTCAAGAATGCCCTTGTTTTCTTTCGGTTTATCAGAACTATATACACCACTTTGATTTTAGGTTTTGTTTCGTTCTGTTTTGTTTTGCCTTGGTTACTAGGAAGGTCAGAGATACAGCTAATGCTCAAGTACAGTGACTGTTTCACTGCAGGTTCCTGGTGGAAACTGTCGGCCCCTTTTCGCTCTGGTTGCTGTTTCTCTGACTTTAATCGTCCTCTCTGTGCTTTTACTGTGAGCTACATCATATTCTTGTGAGAAGTAGGATAGAGTATAAATTACCAGTCATGAAGTCCTGTATCCTAAGCACCTGAACAGTGCCTGGCACTTGGGTGCGTTATCAACATTTACTGAATGAATGGATGATGGATGGATGCTGGAAATGAACTCAATTTCACTTTTCTGTAAATAGCAGTGGATGGCCACTAGGGGGAGGAAGAGTGCCCACTCCTCCCTGCAGACGGCTCTCTGAGGCCACAGGCATGCGTTTGGTAGAGAACAGTAGTGTTTTTAAATAACCAAATCCTGAATTTCTGGAATGGGTAGGGCCTTTCCCCCTGAAGGAGTGAACGCTGAGTACTCCAGGAGCACTCTCTTCCAGCCCAGGGCTGCACAGCTTCTGCTAGACAGCAGAGTCCAAAGGCCACATGGAGAGAAATTTCAGTGCACAGATCACACGTTTTGAGCCAAGTGCAAAAATCTTCATTTAAAACACTTGAGAATCAGACAAACAGGATAGTACTTGGCCTAGTAGTATGGTTAATAGGTTAGAAATAAGAAATAACCAGGAAGAACCGAGGGCGTGTTTAGAAGAAACAGGCTTATGATGTTGGTGACACGGTGGCTAATTTGCACTTTACCACTTAGCACTTGATTACACGCTGTTTCCCAGCACTTTCCTCTTTTTTTTTGTGGTACGCGGCCCTCTCACCGTTGTGGCCTCTCCCGTTGCGGAGCACAGGCTCCGGACGCACAGGCTCAGGGGCCATGGCTCATGGGCCCAGCCGCTCCGCGGCATGTGATATCTTCCCAGACCGGGGCACGAACCCGTGTCCCCTGCATCGGCAGGCGGACTCTCAACCACTGCGTCACCAGGGAAGCCCCAGCACTTTCCTCTTTCCCAGAGACTCAGAGCCTTGGGAAGCTCCGTCTATTCATCTGGAAACGCGGGCCCAAGGAGGGATGTGGCTTTGACTCTGGAGGGGCTGGAGCCCCAAGTCCTTGTCCCTGTCTGTCCCTGTCATTTTCCCACCGTCTACATAAGACACATTTTGGGAGCAGGCACTTGGGAATGCTTGGCTGGAGACCAGAGGCCAGGAGCGGCCCCTGGCAGCCCTGGGCTTTCCTACTTCTCATGCAACCTCTGCAATTTGGGTGGGCCACATATTTTAACTTTATCCTGCAATAGAGAAACTGACAGATAGAGAATCCCTTAAGCCAGGGATCCTTAGCCTGTAGGTCCATGACCTTGGACATGAAAAAATTTTACATCGTTGTTTTCATTAACCCCTAACTAAAGTTTAGCATTTCCTGCAACTATGAGTATAGGCATTGAACCACGATAGAACTAGCAGGACTGGTGACTGCCACAAATAGAAATCAAAGATATTTTTATGCCACATTGTATGTTGCAGATATCTGAAAACATTGTTTACAATCATCACTACTCTGAAATTACAGTCGTTGTTAGATCACTGCTAGATTTCATGCATCAATGGACTCATCTATTACTGTTATAATCTTTAAAAATTTCAGTATAATCGATTTCCTTTGTAATAATGTATTTTATTTATGCACTTAAATACAGAAGCTTCACCAGATGACCAAAGATTAAGAATCTCTGCTTAAAGAAATGATTCCTTAGGGTTCTATTATCTTCTCATTCATTGATTTGCTATGAATCGTAAATTAATATAATGTGAATTTCTGTTGCAGCCGAACAAAGGGAGTTTAGCTTCTAAAGAATTGAAAGGAAGTCTTATTACTAAGGAATTCATGTAGATTTGATAACAAAATGGCATTATAGAAAGTGCATCAATTAGAGCTGCATTTTCTGCTTTTCATTGACATGCATCTATCCAGTGCTTTATCAATTCAATGCCATCTTCTTGGTTGGGGGGAAGAACAGATTGAAGGTGATGTGTGTCCAAGGTCACTGATGGCAAAAGAAAGTAGGAGGAATGTATGCAGAACCTGGCAACTAGCATTAGCCAGAAACAAGACCCCAGGCATAAGGTAGCCACTGAAAACCATTAAAGACCATAAATAATGGGTAGATTGAGGTTGTGGTGATATCCCTTTATACATCCTTAATTGATTAAACAGTTTTTTTTGAGTCTTGAAGTTAACTGTAAAAATTACAGTTAACAGTTGAGAACGTGGTTGTTCTAATGTATTTTCAATTAGGATGATGTACGTTAAATATAGACCTATATGCCTCTAATCACTCAAGATACAGAATTCATATTAGAAAAATTCAAGTGTGTAAGTTTGAGGCTTTTAGAAACACGAGAAGGCCAATTTAATAAAATTTAAAATCTTATGTTATCATCATGGCAGAAAATGCAAAGATCTGTCTGTGTGGAGCATTTTGTCTTTTCCGGACTCATGCTGCAGTACAGGTACATCAGCCAGGAAAAATGATGCCATTTTTATTGTCTTTTCTACAGGTATTGAACTGGCTGGGCTTTTTACCATCATTACTGCTACCTGTAAACATATGAAGGGGAAGGTTGACTTCTAGAAGTCGTTGATATGCTTCTTACTGCTCTTCGTAAATTCCCTCAGATTGGGGATTACTTCTGCTTTGCAGAAATTATCTGCAGGGGGCCCTGCATAATTTATAACAATCTCTGGCAAAACCTCAGAAAAAAGATACGCTTTTGACTTAGCCGGATGTCAGAGGCTGCGGCAGGACCCAGGGAAAAGGCTCCCCAGGTGGCATGAGGCTCTGGGAGCAACCATCCCAACTGAGGGACTTGGAACTTCCTTCTCCTGAGGAGTGTGACACAGTTGAAACGAAAGAAAAAAGAGAGCCACAAGCAACACAGCTGCCAATGAAATAGGAGAGAGATTGCTTTCAAAAGCACGTGGGGCCCTCTCTCTGGACTCTCTGAGCTCATCCACGGGACAGGAGCGCAAGGCCATGGAGTAGAACCTCAGCGTGGGTCTAAGAAGAGACAGAAATGGCCCAAGAAGGCAGCCTGAAGCCCCTCCGGGAATCAGAACGCGAGGCGATCCTCCAGGTCCTGTACCGGGACCAGGAGGTTCGAAACATCGAGGAGGAAAGGATACGGTACGCTGTCATTTAGTGGGTGGGATTCTTTCTTTTTTTTGGCTTTTTCTGCTTGGAGGCTGCTTCCACCTGGCGTATTGCTGCTTGCTGCCTACTCAGCTTCTCCTCTGACAAGAGTCTGAATGAAGGGCTATAGGGGGAGGTGACCTTTGCTGTGTCACTAAGCTTCGGGGATGGTAAAGGAAAGAATGCCTTTTGTTTTTCCTTTAAAATAATGCCTTTTTTTTGTGATAAGTTTGCTGTCTGTCAGCTTGTCCATTTGCCTACTTGGCAGGAGTAATTCAAGGGAAGCTTTCAGGCTTCTCACACACCCTTCAAGGGAAAGACCTCCGGCTAAGGGTTTTCCTAAATTATTTTTGGTGGTAACCGAAGGCACAAAGAAAGCAGCTTAGAAACAGCAAATCTGCTGGAATCCATTCCTGTCCTTTTCTTTGCTCTCTTTCGCTTCCCAGCCAGCTTTGAGGGAAGGGGAAACCTGCCCAGCCTGCTCTCCAACTGATCTGTCAACAGAGAGCCTCTTTCCTCTCTCTGAGCTCCGCGGGCTGTTGGACATTAGTTTAACACTTAACAAAGCAGGGCTGGGCGGCGTCCGTGGTTAGCTGTGAAGATCCATCTTTAATATGGTGATGCTTTGTTTATCGATCGATGTTTATGGAGAGTGTGAGGTCTAGAGAATAAGTAAATGGAATAGGCTTTTTGGTTTTGCTTTGTTTTTAATGGCAGAATTCCTTCCGAGTCTGCCAAGAAAAATAAACATATAAAATAAAACTTTGGACCACCAAATGTCTGAGGAAGGAGCGAAAATTTCTGGTTAACTAGAAGGTACAATGTTCTTTTTCTACCCTCCCCTGTTATCCCAAAGCTCTCTAAGTGTACTTATACTTTATTCCACTAAAAAAATACACTGAACAAAATGGATTTTGCTTTGATGATTCAAGATCTTTCGGTGATTTAGAAGCATCGTTTTGAATAGCAACAAAGTAACATGGATACTGTGGTAAAAGGTTTTGTTACAAAGGGTACTGATTCTAGAGCAAATCCTGAAAGTTGGATGTAAGCTTGTTTCTTGGGGTTAGCTTCTCTCTTCTAAAAGTAAGTAACAGTAGGGCTTCCCTGGTGGCGCAGTTAAGAATCCGCCTGCCAACGCAGGGGACACGGGTTCAATCCCTGGTCCGGGAAGATCCCACATGCTGCGGAGCAACTAAGCCCGTGCGCCACAACTACTGAGCCTGTGCTCTAGAGCCCACGAGCCACAACTACTGAGCCCGAATGCCACAACTACTGAAGCCCACGTGCCTAGAGCCCATGCTCCGCGACAAGAGAAGCCACCGCAGTGAGAAGCCTGCGCACCGCAACGAAGAGTAGCCCCCACTTGCCGCAACTAGAGAAAACCCGCGCACAGCAACGAAGACCCAACACAGCCAAAAAATAAACAAATAGATTTTTAAAAAAAGAAAGGACATGAGAGCAAGCATTAAAAAAAAAAACAGTAAGTAACAGTAAATCAACTGTACTCCAATAAAAATTTAAAAAATAATAAAAGTAGGACTTCCCTGGTGGCGCAGTGGTTGAGAGTGTCGGCCTGCCGATGCAGGGGACATGGGTTCGTGTCCCGGTCCGGGAGGATCCCACATGCCGCGGAGCGGCTGGGCCCGTGAACCATGGCTGCTGAGCCTGCGCGTCCGGAGCCTGTGCTCCGCAACAGGAGAGGCCACAACAGTGAGAGGCCTGCATACCACCAAAATAAATAAGTAAATAAATAAATAAAAATAATAAAAGTAAGTAACAGAGACATTTCATAAAAGAGTATTCTGGCTAATGATACCTTCTGGGGTCCAATGTAATGTCCCTTTGTACTAGGGCTATTGTCCTGGGGAAATAGGGACTGAAAGTAACTGACCACCTATAGAAAACAGTAGCAAAAGCATAGCATCAAGGGAGCTCAGCTTGGTGCTCTGTGATGGCCTAGATGCGGGGGAAAGGCGGGCAGGGAGGTCCAAGAGGGAGGGGATATAGGTACATATATAGCTGATTCACTTCATTGTACAGCAGAAACTAACACAACATTGTAAAGGAATTTTATTCCAATAAAAATTTTTTTAGATTTACTCCATTAAAAAAAAGCACAGCATCAGTTAAATAACTTTATTGGGGAACTTAAGACAATAGCACATGTATACTGTATATTTATAGATCATTCCCTGCCTTGCATTTTAGAATTGATGCCATTTTCTGCATTTTTCCTCTTCTTTCACTGCCTTGCTTGCTATTATAATGCCCTTTGGGCACAGAGGGATGAACCTAGCCAGCCATCGTGTTTATGCTTTGCCATTTAATCCTCACAGCAACCCTGGGAGGTAAGGCTTGCACAGCCGAGAAAACCTCTGAGCCTCTGCTCCGAGACGTCGCAAGAGATCCTGGTTCACACAGCCTTGTTGGAACCCGGGGGTGCTGGATGCCAAAGCCCCTTCTTTCCCGCCATGGGTGGTGCTGTTGGGGCCCTTGCCATGTAGGAATTTGGCTGGCATCTGTCCTTCCACTCAATCACTTCTTATCATTTAACTCTCTGGGCCACAGGAAACTGAAGACACACTTGCAGCATCTCAGATGGAAAGGCTCAAAGAGCGGGAGCCAGGAGTACAGAGAGAAGTCCTGTGCCCGCTGCCGGCAGGCCACCCAGAGGTGTGAACACCAAGATGCTCACAAATGTCTCTCCCGGGACTTGTTTCCTTATCTGCCAGAGGCAGGAAATGGGATGGGTAAACATTTCACCAAATGTTCTCTGCAGAAGCTGAACCGGGGGGCCGTGTGCCAGGGCTGCAGCCACCGCGTGTGCGCCAAGTGCCGAGTGTTCCTTAGGACGACCCGCGCCTGGAAGTGCACCTTGTGCTTTGAGGACAGGTGAGGATGGGCCAGGGAGCCTCAGAGATGGTCCAGGACAAACTGTTGACAAAGACAGCTGTCACTCCTCAAACTTATTCGGGATATGTTTGCAGAGTGCTTAATATGGAGCTGCCTTTCTAGAAGTGGAAGTTATTGTAATTCAAAAATGCGTTTTGTTATATGAAAAAAGCTTTTTAATTTACAAAAGTTTGTTTGTAATGGCTGGGGATCAGTTAAAGTAGGAGTTAAGATTCCTTTCAATTTCTTAACTGGTTCATTTTGTTAGTTTTCTTAGAGCTTAATTTATCTCTTTGAGGAAAAGTGGAGTGAATTGTAACATAGAGAATATTAGAGTGTCCTGTGCAGCTCTATTAAGGCCTTTTTGAAGGAGGCAAGCTGATCTGTATTGGATGCTCTACTAAAGAAATGGGTATGCTTCCTATTAGTGATAGCGTGAATCTACATTTATTCTGATCTTTTGATGTTGTGAGGTTTTAAAATATTTTAAACATGGAATTGGCATTTTTGAATTACCGGTTTTGAAAATGATAAAGAATATCTGTGGCTTGATCTCACACCGTTCGAAGCACGAACGGGCTGGTCGTCAATCCCTTGGAAACACGGGGAGTGTTTCTGCCTCTTGTGCAGTAGCGTGCACAAGGACATCATGGAGATTATGAGAGGTAGATATGTTCGTCTGGTGTGAATCTAGGAGAGGAATCAGAGACTGAGATTTGAAAACAACTTGTAAATGTTGCTGTAGATGCGTGAGTGCCCCGGGGGCTAAGACTGTGAGAGGTGCTTACACAGTGTGGGCACAGCAGCTGGGTTTTCTCTGCCCCTAAATCAGGAGGATTGTGTCTATGGGCATATCCTGATATTAATCTCCTTAAATTTCCCATCCCTTTGCAAGGCTTAATGTATTTCAGTCAGTCATTCGAAGGCAGGTTGTTCAACCAGATTTCCTTGTTCCTAAGCTCCCCCTCTCTGAAGCAGCAGGCCAGGTCATTCCCACGTGGTCAGAGTTATCTCCACACATCTCGCGTTTCCTCAGTTTGTGAAGCCAATGCCCTGCAGGCTTTTCTCAGCTTGAGAGGGAAAGACCAAGATTTACTGTGAGCTGCCGGGCCTGCACTTGTGCTCAACCAGGTCTGGGCCCTTGAGAGAGGAGGAAAGGTCCTAAGATCTCCAGTCAACCATATATATTTGGTCGATAAACACTAATGATAAACACTGTGTCGTAAAGTATTAAATTCTTCAGCACTTTTTCTTCGTCTAGTGGTTAACTATAAGCCACAGGGTTATAGGACAGGGGCTGAGGCAACCTCCCAGGAAGCTGGCCCTGCGGAAGTCTCTGCCCTGGAGGGCACCATGCCCGGGGCATTGTAACTTTACCGCTCTAAGCTCATGAAGCGTGATTTCTGAAACCCCAGCTTCCTTATGTTGAAATAAGGATGTTTTTCAGAATATCCAAGATGACTGCGTTGCTCTGAGTGAACTGACATAGGAAATCGCTTGGGGAGAGAGCTAAGTAATTTTTAACCCAACTGCGCCCCTCCCCGCCTACTTTCTTCGAAGCTCTCTGCTCTCTCTCTCTCATTTTGTCCACGCTGGGCTGCCTTCCAATCCTGGGGCCAAACCAAAGAAAAGGCTTGGGAAACCTTGAGGGTAGGCGATGGTCACAGCTGAACTGGGTCCTGGACAGGCTTTTGACCCTATCATTTTCCTCTCCCTGTTTCTTCCTCAGCCTAAGACTCATTCCTCAAGAAGTGGGAACAGGAGAGAAAATAGGTTTTAAAATCAAGAAAGAAGAATCTCTAGGGTAGCAATTTTAAAAAAGCAAAACCAATGCACAGATTGCTGCAGTCAGTGCCAAAGTCCTGTGACCAGCGCTGGCCTTGGGCTTGTGTTGAGGGTCCAGGAGACACACCTGAGGTTTCTGCCTGCTGGGCAGGTTTTCTGCTGAGGACCCCAGGAGCTCAGAGGAGGGAGAGGCGAGGGAGGGCCGAACTGGCTCAAGGTGATTTCCCAGAGCACCCAGGTGGGAGCATTTCTGGAAGCGGGTCGGGATTAGAGAGGGAGACAGACATTGTCCGGGAGAGGGAACATTGTGGGCATGAGTGGACCACTCACCGTGTGGGAGGCTGTGTTAAGCATCTCTTGACACCAAATGTTTTATTTAAATCTTCAAACAATCTTACGTGACGGCTACCACCATTATCCCAATTTTATAGGGGAAGAAACGGAGGCTTAGAGACACAAGGGAGCCCAAGGCCATGCGGTCAGTAAGCCTAGAACCAGGTCTCCAGAGTCCCATCTCTTCCTTTTGTTTTAAATTTAAATCCCTGTGAGTGATCCAAAATTATTTTTAATGGTAAAAATGAACATATACAATCAAGTAGAATATTACAGAGTCATTAACAATGTGATGTGGTGCTCTGAGATTTGAAAACAACTTGTAAATGTTGCTGTAGATGCGTGAGTGCCCCGGGGGCTAAGATGCATACCAGCTGTTGCGAGTTTCAAGAGCAGCTTATGAAACCTTGTGGTACACTTTTCTTTCATTTTAAAAAAGATACATAAGCAAAATTATCCGGAAGAATATATATGAAAGAAATGATTCTCTTTCTCTCTCTGTTTAAATTTCTAAGGTGCCTGTTGTTTTACCTCTTTTATTCATAGTGGCGCATATCTGTTGATCCCGAGCCCCTCATCTATCCCGTCCCTTTTGATCTCCTCGCTCTCCTACCTTCTGGGAGACTCGCCCAGAGGGATGGGGTCTTAAAAGCCACTCGGAAGGGTTTGGATTGGAGGCTGCAGGAAATAGGGTGTGAGCATATACGCACTTTGCCAGAAGAAAGCCAGGTGAAAGTCTGCCTGCACTCTGCAGGACAGACTCAGGAGGGTCTGATGGATGAAGGTGAATGAAGCAGGTGAAGGTCTTTTCGGTGAACCAGGTGTGAAGGGATGAGGCGGGCGGCAATAGAGATGGGGAATGTGAGGGAGAGTTCAACAAAGGGGTGATGGAACTTGGTCATGGGGGATGAAGGAGGGAAAAGTGAAAAACAGTTCTGCGGACTAGCAAAACTGATAGCTCTTCATGCTTAACTGGAAGAACCAAAGGAAACAGAGAGTAAAAGAGAAGCAGCAGAAAGAACTAGGTAAACAAAGGCAAGTTGGAAAGGACTTAGAAGGGAAGGTTGGTTGAAAGCTGCTTCCAGTGATGGGGGCCGTGTGTTATCCTTAGCAGGAGCCATCAGAAAAGGGGTGATTTGGGAGAAGGAAAGAAGAGAGAGTCAGATTCCTAGAATTTGGAAAATGTAATCTTTCAAATTTCAGGCTGATACTCCCAGTATTTTCATAATCCCATGTTTCGGTAAAACACCGAATCACCACTTTATATCCACAAGGCAAATAACTAATGTATGAGAATGGAATAATTCCAAATCATGATTGTAAATCCTTCTGCCCTTCAAGTGAGGAAAAGGTATAACTCTATAAAAGACTGAAAAGAAATTGAATGCCAGGTATGGTTTAACAGATTTGGCCAAGGAAGGATTTTAGCTTGGTGCCAAGGTTAAAGGGACATTTTTCTACGGCTTCTCTTTGTTTCAAAACTTGATTTCTTCTTTTTTCTAATCGGATTTCTAGCACTGTCAATAGGAACTATGTTAATTTGTTTCACATGAAAGAGTACATAGACAAGTTAAATATGTGGAGTAAAATATTTCACATAGCTGTACATTTATAAATTTTCAAGAGGTTAGCCATAAATTTTCAGAAGGTTAGCCACTAAGATTAATTTCACAGAGCAAAAGCCTTTTGTTCTTTGAAATACAGTTTTTTCTTCTTACTTCTGATTTGGAGATAGCATCTGTTTTAGTTCTCACGAGAAAGCTTGGTTGTTTCACGTGGTGTAGGTACACTGCTTTCTGTGGGAATAGGACAGATGATGATTACATAAAGGATCATGATATTCTTTTTATCCATTGGCCAAATGAGAGTAAGGATTACCTAACAGCCTTTGAAGCCTTATGTTACCAAACATATAGTTAAAACTGGAAATTTATGGGATACTTTTTTTTTTTGCAGTATGTGGGCCCCTCACTGCTGTGGCCTCTCCCGTTGCGGAGCACAGGCTCCGGAATCACAGGCTCAGCGGCCATGGCTCACGGGCCCAGCCGCTCCGCGGCATGTGATATCTTCCCAGACCGGGGCACGACCCCGTGTCCCCTGCATCGGCAGGCGGACTCCCAACCACTGAGCCACCAGGGAAGCCCTATGGGATACTTTTTGAAAAAGTTTACTTTTGAAAAGCTTATTTTGTGCTTACTGAAGGGAATGTTTACACAGTAGTTTGAGTATCATTTTTATTGTTGGTGTTTAAGTTGAAATTTCTTCTGTGGTCAGCACTTGATTAGTCATGGCAGGTCTTGCTTTTAACGCCTTTTTGAGATGAGTAAGCTTTCCATACCCTTGAGTTCATACTCAAAGTTGTCCGCTCACTCGGTTCAGCTGAAACTTTTCGCCCTGCAGCAAGGTCAGTGCCAGGAGGCCATTTTCCCAGTCCGACCCAGCGTGGTGGTGAAGTGCTGCCTTGGTTAAAACTCTGGGCTGAAAAGTAGGCGAGAGTTAAGGATACTGGGGACGTAGGGATACCAGACAGGCTTGTACGTCCTTTCCAGTCACGTGTTCACAGGAATTTCTACAATAACAGACCCATGTCCATAGATCAGACCAAGAGCTCATTCTAGTGCCAAACAGAAGTCATGGGTGGATTTACCGATTTTAGATGATTCCACTGCTGCACTGTTTCATGAAATCAGGTATCTTTGAGACCATGATTTCCCAATTTGCAGGTCCTTTATTCTGATCCATTTCCAGTGAACTGAAGAGTCTCTTCAAAGATTTTTCTTCCTAGAAGAGCACGTGGGTGGCATGTGTCCTAAGCCATTGCCTATCTGAGGATGCCTTCGGTAGCCTTTTCTCATGAGTAAGGACTTCACTGGCTTTAAATT